GTTATCTAGTGAAATTTAAGACCAACTGTTTTTCCTGACTCTGATTTAAGTAAAAAGCATCCTAGTTACCAATAATTAATAAAAACTTCTCTTATCCTTAAAGATACAAATTAAGATCTAATTAATTTAGTCTGGGTCACCTTCATTTGATTTTTAATGTGGCACTTAGCATGGAAGCTCACAGTAACAAAAACCAATTTGTTTGCATTGTAATATGGTTAATTCCTATCTCTTGCAATTGCTATTAAACAAATTACATTAAGCCTTCACTGAAATACTTTGAAGCACAAAAGATGAATTCGAGTATTTTACAGAGTAAAACACTCAAATTTTATATTATATAAAGTAAAATACTATTTCATATTAAAGTAAAATAGTCCTATTTATTTTATATAAAGTAAAATACTCATTGGTTAATAGCAAGATTTTAAAATACCATTCACTTCCAGATTAGTGTAGAAAACTATTTCAACAACAAATATTGTTCCTCCATATTAAGTACAATTTTAGGTAATACAAGAATTATCCTTTCAATGTCAAGAAAAAAATAAGGCTCCTGCCGACATTTGCACATTACAAACAGGTAAATATGAGCCACTTCAATTTTAAACCCAGCCTAAAAACCAGTAACATTCATACAGTAATATTTCAAATAGTATAGCTCTTGTTAATTTGGCAGTGAACACAAAAAGTAATTTTACCATAAAGTAAAAATAATTCTATTTTCAGTATTAGAAAATCTCATAATCTATCATAAAATTGGGAGAAATCCTGTATTCTCACAGAATACAAGTATTTAACATTTATTCTAACATGTAACAGGGAACAGTCCCTGATCACCCTACATATTTGAGATGTAAATGTGTTTGCTTAAACAAAAGCTTCACATCCAAGAAATAATTAAGCACCTACCATCTGCTAAAAATAAATTATTTGGAGATAAAAGCCATTACACATTATTAAAATATTATAAAAATAGTAAACATAAAATAGCATCTGTTGAGAAAACTTCGTACTAGTATTTCCTAACCCGTTTTGATAGCTCTTCAAAGTTCTGTTGGTTTTATACTATGGTTGCACAAATGCAGAGCTGTTAGGGTTTACATAAAGCATACCTTAAACATTAAACCACAGTTTCTTCATGAGATTGAAGAATGAAAATGATATTATTCTTGGAAATTAAGAAGTCAATTTAAGAAGTTATAATTTCCCTAAGACCACTAAAATATGTAGAGGGAAAATTTTTCTCCTATTAATTAGCTGTTCTTCCTACTTCCTTAATAGATTCAAGAAGTCCTAGGGCTTAGTGGAGGCATATATGGCAAAGATTTCTTGTTAGAAGCTGTGAGGAATTCAGAGAAGCCAAAACTGTAGGACAGTTATCAATCTTACAAAGTTGATAGGAAATGGAGACCTGTCAATGTTCTACACTTAAACTGGGATCAGAGAGATCCTTTCACTTACACTAACAACAAAAGAGAAGTATGATCAAAATGTAAGCTCTAAAAATAAAATTTACTTTCCAATTACATTACAGTTTTCTACAAATCCACTTAAACAGATAAACAACTAATCCTTCAAACTCAGCTATCCTAAGAACAAAGACCATTTGACTAGTTTCCCCCAAGGGACCAAATTGTTTCAAAACTCTCTGGGAACAAAAATTATGCCTAACCTTTTAATAAATTTGCCTAGACAATCCTAACTTAAAACATACATAGTCAATTAGCAAAAAACAAACATTTATAGCCCTGTTATTTACAAAGTAATCATTCAAAATAAGGTACAATATTTAAAAAAAAAAAAAAAAAAGCCAGTCTCATTTTACAGAAACTAAAATATCAAAACAAACAAACAAACAAAAAAAAACCAAAATCCACCACCATCAACAAAAAGAAACAAACAAAACCTAAAGCACTAAAGCAAGCCAAAATACAGAAAGCTAGTAAACTGAAGGCAGTTTTTCCTATAATTTCTAACTTGGTATTTTTCATCTGAAGCTAAATAAGTTCAATTGCTTTGTCTGTCTAGACCTGACTAAGGTCTCTATGAAGAAAAACACTGGGCAAAGGCAGTGTTCCCTCCTATAGCTACATAAATCAAATTTATAAGAATACAATGGTTTTGTATATTGAATATTAAGTTTAAAGCATCAAGCTTCTGAACCACAGACCTTAATCATCTAGTCTTTAAAATAAATGCACAATCTTTAGACAGCAGTGAAAGATCTGGACTTACATACTCGCTCGGATCAAAATACAAATGAGTATTGACCCCAAACCCTATACAAACTCGTCCGCTACCCACCAACATTTCACCTTATAATAAAATATTTCAAAAATTCTAAGTAAGGTTGTTTGCTCAGTCTTCCATGATGAAACCCACTGGTATGTAGAAAATCCCTGAGCCAGTTCTTTCTCTAATTATTTCGTAGGCTAGAACCTTACCACAGTCACCATATGAAGTAAATGCTGCTCCAAAATATTTACAATGGAATAAGAGAATCATGAAATGGTGTATACTGTCCAACCTTTTTAAGTACTCCTCGATAGAAAGGCAATCAATCGTCTTTCAGTTGCTCCACAATCAGAATGGTTATTAAGTGTCATTAATGGCCCACTCATATCTCAATGCTTAGTTCAGCCCAAAAAGATAGAACTCCCACTATGAAAGTGAATTCTAATCTTTCACACTTTAAAAAATACACTTAAATGACACCTGGCACTATTTAATTTTCAGTCTCAGTCTATAAGATTCTGAAAATAGCATAAAATGGATTCGAGACCCTATTATGGTAATGTTTTTATTTAAAGTCTATTAAAACAGACTAAATTCCACAATCCCATAATAGGTAAATGGGCATGTTTGGGGAGGAAAAAAATCAAGAATCAGAGCCTTACTTTTAACTTACATAATGATGATAGTATGCCCTAAGACAATTGTTAAAAGCAGCATGAAGCTTCACTTTACCAAATACACCATCAACTTTGAAAATTCTTAAGGAAAGCTTAAATACACGGGGAAAATGGATGGCAAAATATAATGGCATCTCTACACCCAATGAAGTAACAGGTTTAGGCTTGTTTGTACAGCTCCCTAAAATTTAAGCTGAAACAGAATACAAAAACCAAAATCCACAAAATGGGTCAAGAGGTGGTTGGGAAACGTCTTACTTTAGATTGAAACATTTAATCATACAAAATAGATTGTACTGAGATACTTATTAAACATTTTAATTTACTTTGGCATACTGAATAAAAGATGGCTGAATTGAACCAAACAAAAACTATTATTGGTACCCAAATAATTTTGTTTAATGATGAAGAGCAGCCATCATCACCACTGAAATTTGCAAGGCTGAGTGTTTGTTTTTTTTTCAAAAGTGGAGACATTTAATTTACCTTTCAGGAAAAACGAATCAAATTAATCAACTAAAACACAGCATTGAAATTTGCAGTAAATATCAACACATTTTTGTTAACTGGCTCGGGGAAGGGGAAAAAGCCCAGTCTTTTCTTGTAAACATAATAAGCCTGTAATATGCTGCAGACAAATGCACTGCATGGGGTGTGGAGGACCCGAGCTGATTAGATTACCACAACATCAGCCTGGGGCCGCCATTTTTAGAATCTGTAAAGGACAAAAGAGGGAAATTTCAGTTTTTACTCCCCATCTCAGAAATTCAAGGAAAAAGCAGACTAGTTTCCAAATAGGTATCCATGTCTCCAGCCCAGAGTTGAATGCACCTCACTTAATTCCATCCAAGGTCTCCAGAACTCTAAACACCTAACCTTATTCACATCTCTAAAAAGGGAACAAAATAGGCAAAACGGGTTTTGCTCTAGAGCTAACTGCAGCGATTTCTCTTTCACTTTAAATTGTATAATTCTTAAGACAGAGCCCAGCAAGGACGGATCTATATGGAACTAAGGCCAGTGGAAGAGCACTCTGGATTGTTTTTTCTCACCCCCACCCCGTTTAGCACAGTGAACCGTTTGTTTCTCATCTGTGCCTGCTGCCACAGGGTTTGTGCCAATCCCCTGGTCGAAATAAGCTTTTCTGAAATGAGCCATATTGTGGATCCTAAGGCTCCGGCACAGTAAAGCACGGCGGTCATGCAAAAGGAGTGGGGGAGGAGACTGAGAAGGCTGGGTACTGGGGTGACCACCACAGGGGCGGGTTTACCCTCTTCTGGAGAGGATGAGGAGCTAGCTGTCTCGCTCTCCCACAAAGAGAGCTGCCCAGAGCGCTCTTCTTAGCCCCTTCGTATTCATGTGCACTTTATGCCAGAGACTGCCCGTCAAGAAATGGAACTAGAAAATGGGGCCTATATGGCTTTTCGGCACCTCAACAAGACGCGGCTGAGATCAGGGAGCGCTGGCAGCTCCTGGGACCACTCCGACACAAACCCTACTAGCAGTCACAAGCCTCCCTCCTCGCTCAAGCGGCCTTAACCTGCTGCCAATGAGGAGTGCGCCCCCTCCCTAACTCCCACTCTCAAGGGGGTTTAACTGCCAGTTTCCCCTTCCCCAACCCTAAAACCCGCCATAATGCTCCATTGCTAGGGTCAGGGAAAAGAAAAGATAAATTCGCTTTCAGCAAGCAACGTCCTGCCCCGGCAAAGACACCTGAGAGTCAAAGTCGGCTCCCCCAGCTTAAGGATGAAGATGAGAGACCTCTCTCCCCCTTGAAACACAAGTCCCCCAACCCCGCAAGCCCCAGGAACTCCCACGGAGACGACAGGCACTGACCTGTGATGTTCACACACCAGACACCCGAACCCCGTTATGCGCTCGACCCCTAAGGAGTCTCTCCGCACCTCCACGAACAGGCAACCCCCAGATAGCAGCCACTGCGGACACGGAACCGGCTCCACACACCCCCTCCCCAAACAGCAGCGCGCAGCCTCTTCACCAGGATCCGAGGAGTAGGAGAGGGGGCACCCAGACAGTCCACAGGAACGCAGAGGCAACGGCGAGGCTGCTCGGAGTGTCTATGCCCCTTCTGCTGCAGCTCCCGAACTCAGGCTCGGTCTCCGACTCGGCCCCCTACGCCCGCTCAGTGTCACTGCCTCTCGCTCTGGGAAAATGGCGTCGACGGCGGCGGCGGCGGCCGCGGCGGCGGCGGCGGCGGCGGCGGCGGCAAGTGCACGGGGCCCGCCCGTCCCGCTCCGCAGGGGCAGAGGGGGAGGGGATGAAGCTGCCCGGCGCCATTTTGCTTGTGGGCTGCCGCCCGCCGTTGCCTCTCCGCGGAGGCTCGAAGATAGCAAACTGGAGGCGGTGAGGGGGACGGAATCTCTTGTCTTTCTGCAACAGATGCAACTCAACAATCCACGGAAGGTTTGAGAAAGTGTCGGTGTTCGGTGGGATTGGTTCTTTCCCCCTTCCCCCCAATGGCCCTCAAGTCTGGATATAGGTGAGCTTGGGCATGCCTCTATTGGGTGCACGGACAAGGACACAGGGCCTGGGAACGACCTCCCTCCCGTCACCCTCCGAAAGTGATACACTTTCTCCCCCTCCCAAACAACCCCAGCCCCGGCTCCGCGTCTCTCTCCCTCTCCTCCCCCAGCCCAGTCTGGCCTCAGCGCTAGGTGAACCCGGTTGGGGTGTCACTCGACGCCCACTAGGGGCCGAGGAGGCTCCAGTGCGCAGGCTCCGGGCACCGGATAAAAGCGGAGCTGGCGACTCCAGCGCTGTCTCTATGGAGGAGCGAGAAACGGAAGAGGTCGGGGGGACAAGCAGCAGGAAAAATGCAGCCACCGTCAGCGCCGCCTCCTTGCCACCGTATTTCGGGGTAAAAAGCTGCCGTTGCCGTCGGTGCAGTTGCCGTCGCTGCCTCCTATACTTCTCTTGGTCTCGGGGAAGGATTTCCCCACCGGTGGGACATTGTGCGGGGAGGGGAGTGGGAATTACTGTACGTGGCGGTGATTAAACGAGGGAGGGACAGAGACAGTGATCTCGAAGAAAAAAGGGGGAAACCAAAAAATAAAGGGTTTCCCCACTAAAGTGACACGGCTATTACGGCTCTTGTTTTCGGGGTCTTTCCCCGAAATGGTTTCCGTCTTCCCCTTGCCCCGCAGCGACCCGGAGCGCGGGGGGAGCGGAGTGGGGAGAGGCAGAGGCGATCTTGGCAGCCAATCGGCGCCTGATGTGTCCTGTCGGGCGCGCAGTGGTTGGCTGGCGATGACCTCATCCTGCAGCAGCGGGTGGGGCCAAAGCCGTAGGGGGAGGCTGTTGCAAAGGTAGAGAGGGAGAAGTGACGATGGTGATCGTTGCTGCCGCGGCCGATTTGGAACCCAAGCAGTGGCGAAGCGAATCGCAAGACTCTTCCCTGACTATTTTCTCCTGTCCCTGCGCGAGGTGAGGGCCCCGGCTCGGCCTCTGCGAAACTTTGGGGCGCTGGCGCGGAGGAGGAGACAGGATTTCTCCTATGACTTTTGTAACTGCGTCAGGGCAAGATGGCGCTGGGTCTCCTTGGGGCGCGGGGGGAGAGGCACGTCCACCGCCGCCGCAGCGCATGTGACCGGGCTGCATTCCTGTGGGGTTTGGCTCCGACCCAGGCCGGGGCGGGGGAGGGGACACGGCTTGGGCGGAGGAGACTGTGGTGCGGTCTGCGTTGGCGGCCCGAAGAGGAAGAGATGACTGTTCGAAAGCGTTCCCGTCCCCCTCCCCCATACGGCAGAACAGCTGTGGCTCCCCGGGGAAAGCCCCCGCAGGACACTCCTCGTGGGGTGTGACGGCTGTTGGAGGAGGTCTGGCGCCCTATTTTCTTATCTGCCTTTCTCCCCGCAGAGTGTTACTTACGTAAGGTGGTAGGTCCCTGACCTGGGATTCGGAATCAGCTAGGAGTCTTCCAGGGCCGCTGCGAAGCGTAGAGACTAGCTCCTGGGCGCACAACGTCGAGGAGGATCGATTCCTTTCTGAGGAAACAGTTTCTCAGATTGAAATAGAAAAGTATTTCCAAAGTTTGGAAACAAATGCAAAGGTGTAAATAACACCCAGGAACACTTTAATTGCTTTTAAAAGGTACAAACAGCCATCTGAATTTAAGGGCCCTTTTCAGACTTTATGTTCCTTCTGTATTTCTTGTTCCTTATTCCACTTTCCTATCTGTACATCCTTTAAGAATAGTTTTGTCGCTGAGATTTTTTTTTTTTTTTTTTTTTTTTTAAAACATTCTCGCTCTGTCGCCTCGGCTGGAGTGCAGTGGTGCAATACCGGCTCACTGCAACCTCCGCCTCGCAGGTTAAAGCGATTCTCCTGCTTCATTCAGCCTCCCAAGTAGCTGGGATTACAGGCGCCCGCCACCACGCTTGGCTAATTTTTTGAATTTTTAGTAGGGGGGGGGGGGTTCACCGTATTGGCCGAACTCTCGACCTCAGGTGATCCTTCCGCCGCCTCTGCCTCTCCAAATGCTGAGATTACCGGGCGTGAGCTACCGGGCCCGGCTTGTCTTTTTTTGTTTTGGCGCTAGGCATTGTTAGTAATACGGAATAAAAGCCACGTTTTAAACTGTATGAAGTTGTAGGGCTGTTTTCAGTACTTTCAGTCTGTTTTCTTTCTGTTGCCGTTTTGTGGTTTTTAAAAATAAAAGATGCAATTGTAAGCATCTCTGGTAAATAATCCTTAAGGTTCCTGTATAATTATCAAATATTTAAGCTTACTTTGAAGCACTTTTGTAGTAGTACAGACTATACTTTTAGCTTTTGAAACCTCAATAGGATAAAATAACCAGCAGTTTTTAAGGGCTATTTTAGTATATCCAGTACGGTGAGCTGTAAGTTTGTTTTTCGTTTTTCTCACTTGGGCAAACTAGCTATAGTAGTCAAAAACAAAAGTAGCAAAAATTTTTAAAGGGCTTCTCCTTTTGGGTGGTGTACAGGGTGGGGAGTTATTCAACAAACACATTTGCGGCTAAAATCCTGCCTACCTCTAGAACATATACTGGGTGCTAGGAGGAAATGATTGCTGGACCGGAAAACAACCTGAGGTCAAGGTTGTGCTATTTCCTGAAGTGTTAGTTGTAGGCGAAAACAAGATTGGGTTTTTAATTCTTTTGTGTACCTTAAGTCCTCACTAGTTTTTGTGGATTTCTTTTTTCAGTTGTTAAGCTACTGAATGTGGATGAACTATAAATATTTAGTACAAAGAATGTAATAGGGCCACTCTGAATACAAAGCAAGCGTTAGAACCCTTGAATGTCTTCAAGGGTTACTTTGTTAGGTGTAAGATTCCCTCCTCCAGTTTTTATTCCTGCTTACGAAAGGAACTAAATATGAAGTCAGATTTTAAGGTAATTTTCAGAATGTTCCTCCCTTCCCGTGCCTTAATAAGAAAAAGAGGCCATTTTCCAAGCGAATGAGAAGCACCCTTGTTTGGTGCGTTTAATCACCATGTGCCTTCATTGTTCCTGATTGCCAAATCCAGGAACCTTTTGAGCTCTCAATTTTTTTTTTACTGTCCTATGGCATATTAAATGCTATGAATATTTGAAATTAGTTTTTTTTGACTGCCTTCATACATGCATATGTTCTGCCTGGGCAATTTTATTTGGGCCTATTGTGTTCCAGTCCCTCTCCAATTTTCACCTCTGTCTTAGCTCTGCCAGCTTCAGAGCTACAGGTGAGCATCATTAAAGTTGACTGGGGACTACAGGCTTTCTGAGCTCAATAAAAATACTAAGCTTGTTACTTGTTGCTTAAGAATTTTCACCCATTCCCTTACAAAGATTATTTGAATAAATTACCCCAACTTTTCCTTATTTTTGTCGAAATCATTGTCTCTTCACTTTGGAACATTGCAGTTGGCAATAATCTTACTAGGTGACATAGCACATCTTCTGATACACTAAAATTAAAATGCACACCATCTCAAAAGTGCTATGCTATTTCATACCTTTGTGCTTTTGTCCTGCTACCTGGAGTGCCTTTTTCTCACTTCTGGATAAGGAAACTTGAGCCTTTCTTTGCGTGAAAACTCTAAAAAATGCCTGCTCTCAAGTAAATGTCATTCTTTACATTGATAACCCAGTCCTAGTGCTTGACACTTGATAGGCATTCAGGTGTACATGGTTTTTTAGAGATTGGTAAGATTACCTGTGCAGTCTATAAAGTGTAAATACTGGCTTTTAAACTCTTTTGAAAGAGATCTTTGATCAACAATTTGGATAAGAGATAAAAGGTTAGGGAGGCTCCAGGCAAGGCAGAAAAGTGCTGATGGCCCAGAGATAGTCTGCCCCAAAAAGGTGGGAAAAAGAAGAAGAAAAACTGGGCTGGATATTTTTAAGGAAAAATATTTTAGAGCGTTTTTCTTTAATGCCTACTTTTGCTGCAAGCACTGAAGTTTATTGTACATTTGTATTTCTTATTTGGAAAAAAAAAATGGCCTCTGAGGTTTGGTTTGTTTTTTGCTCCTTTGTAAGCAGACTGTAAAAGTGGTATTGTCAGCATTGTCTTTTGAGGTATCAAACATGCTTTCAGTCAGCAAATGTCTTTTATATAGTACCAGTCCTAATAAACTAAATTGGTTACCAACCTAATACAAGTGGTATGTCATACAACCTACTGCCTGGCTAATTTTTGCATTTGTAGTAGAGACGGTTATGCTGTGATGGCCAGGCTGTTCTTAAACTCCTTGACCTTAGGTGATTTACCCACTTTGGCCTCCCAAAGTCCTGGGATTATAGGCATGAGGCACCACGCCCAGCTGATGACTTAACTTTTGAGGTGTGGCACAGGACAGAAAGAATTACTTTAAAATATACATTTCTTCAAGCCAGGGGAAGAGACTGGCTTTTGCCCTCAATGTGGCAAGAAGAGCCTGAACCACAGTAGGAGTGATCAAGAAGGAATATAAGACATTACAGAAACATCCATACTTGTTGTCTGGGTGGGTATATAGAAGAAAAAATATTAAATTTCAAGAAAAATAATTGAGATTTCATAGTTTTCAGAGATAAAAGCCAAAGCCAGGTAGATTCAGCCTTAATAGGAGACAAATTTAGCAAGAAAGCTGAGATCTTATGTCTACGTTTTAGGCCAAGGAAAAGAAACTAACTGCATTTGTCTTTTTAAGATTATATGCTAGAACATAAACTTAACCTTTAAGTCTGGTTAGCTTTATAGTAAGAATAGTTTAAAAACTACTTTATTCATAACTATCCTAAGTAGTACTTTTTATTGCTAGATTATTCTCTAATGCACACAAATGATAGGTAGCATTTGAAAGCAATTGCTGGCTGGACATGATGGCTCATACCTATAATCCCACTGCTTTGGGACACCAAGGTTGGTGGATCACATGAGGCCAGGAGTTCAAGTCTCAAAAAAATTAAAAATAAATAAGAAAGTAATTGCAAGGCCAGGCTTGGTAGCTCATGCCTATAATCCCAGTACTTTTAGGAGACTGAGGGAGGAGGATCACTTGAGCCCAGGAATTTGAGACCAGGCTGGGCAACATGATGAAACCCCTATCTCTACAAATAATTTTTTAAAAATTAGCCAGGTGTCAGGCACACACCTGTAGTCCCAGTTACTCAGGAGGCTTAGGTGGGAGGATCGCCACTTAAGGCCAAGAGTTCAAGGCCAGCCTAAGCAATATAGCAAGACCCCCATCTATAGGAAAGTAAAACCTAAGTTTTCAGTTATTCGCCCACTTTGGGTTTCCACCTTCCTTAGAAAGTAAAGTAGTATAAATTATTTCTGAAATTTGTGAAAATGATGTACCACATAACCCTCTCAAACCAGGTTGCTTCTACTTCCAATGACTTGATTCCTAAGGGGCAAAGTCATTCCAATGATGGGTGAGCTCACGAGATGGTGTAGCTCCATATCACACTCTGGATTTGGGAAGATTGCTACTGATTTATTAAACATTTGAATTCTTATATGCTGGGTCAGAATTTAGCAACTAAACTCTCAGTAGAAATTTGTAAACCTCTTTTTTACATTGAAAAGTGAATCCAGGTCAGGCGTGGTAGTACACATCTGTCTGTAATCCCAGCTACTCAGGAGGCTGAGGCAAGAGAACTGTTCCAACCCAGGTGGTAGAGGTTGCAGTGAGCCAAGATCACACCACTGTACTCCAGCCTGGGTGACAGAG